AGCAGGGCGGGCGGGGCAGGCAGGGCAGAAGTCGAGCGGAAGAGCAGCTCAATCATCGGAATCTTCGGAGGCCGGCCTCCGAAGATTCTGATGACGGCCTCCAAAGATTCTGATGATTGACGGCCATTGACTGTGCGGAAGCGGGCAGGCAGGCAGGCAGGCAGGCAGGCAGGCAGGCTACAATTTTGGATCGTAGCTAGATTGTAGGTAGGCTGCGCGCCCAAAAAACTGTTCACAGGCATTGATGCTTTGAGATCGTAGGCAGGCTGCGCATCGGAAAAATCGTAGACAGGGGTCGATGCCTGATTTCAGATCGTAGCTTGCCTACGATCAAAATCGGGCTCAACCCTGCTGCTAGCTATGACTGCCACCCGCCAGCCGTCAGTCCAGCCCAGCCAGCCAGCCAAGCGCAGCCGCCTCGCTGCTTGCTTCTGCCCTGCTGCCTTGCCGCTGCTTCTGCCTGCTGCTCTCAATCATCGGAAACGTCGGAGAGGCCCTGTCCGGCGTTTCCGGTGATTGAACACCTTGTTTCCGCTCCGCCTCTGGTGAGTTGACTGTTGCCGCCTCGTCCTTCTCTGCTCTGCTGTGCGCCGTTGCTGACTCCTTGCTCCCCTCTTCTTTTGCCTGCTCCTCCCTCACCGCCTTATTGCTGCTGACGCTCTACCACCGTTGCCTGCCGCCCTGCCTTCCTGCCTGCTTGCCCTGCCACCCACCAATGCTGTCGCTGCGCCGCCACACATCAGTGTAACTAGATTTTGCAATACAATGCCAGTAGAGTATACGGCTGTTGAGTGCGGAGGTAGGCCTACAGTAAGCAGGCCGTAGGATGCCTACAGTCAAAAGTGCCGTAGGTCCTCCTACGGCACCCGGTGCCATAGGGGATTAAGGATCTCCTACGGCACTGCACTTTCGTAGATCATCTCCGATTTCCGGAATTGTAGGCCAAAGCCTGCCCCTAGCTATGAAGGATCTCCTGGTCCAGAAGGGATGACAACCTTTCCAGGCACATGTTGGGCCCTCATGAAGGAGGGGAAAGGGGCAAGGCAGGCAGGGGCAAACATTCATAGCTAGCATCAAAGGGCAGGTGGATTTGGGCTGTAGGCCACCCTACGGTATGTGATCGGGAGATCGGGGGTCATCTACGCTAAAAAATGGCTGTAGGCCTGCCTACGGCCAAAATCGGCGATCTCCTACGGCAATTTGGGGCTGTAGGGCTGCCTACGGCCATTTTTCGAAGGGGCCCTACGGCATTCTTGGCCGTAGGCCTCCTACGGCCCTCTGCTGCCAAGGACGGCCGCTTTTTGCTTACGTCAGCTCAGGCGCCTGCTGGTGCACGCGCGTTGGGCCCGCCACCCAGCCCTTTGCCAAAACCATCCGCCCGCCCGCCCGTCCCTCCTGCCCTCCTACCACCACCACCCGACGGCCCAGCCTCCAGCCGTCAGCCAGACGCCACCCGCCCGGTTCGGCCAGCACCACCAGCCACCTGCCAGCCACTCACCAGCACCCGCCAGCCAACCGCCGCCCGAGCCAGCCACCTGAGCCAGCCACCCGCCAGCCGCCCAGCCCAGCCAGCCGCCCGGCGCAGCTGCCTGGCCCTGCCCCCTC